CCCCGAAGCCTGCGCGTCGCAAGCCATGGAACAGCTGGAGGTTCGCGGGCACGAGTTGCGCTGCAGCCTAAAACGCTGTGGTGCTTGACCGAAAATGGCGATGAATTCGCGCCAAAGTTAGGGGAACCCTCAGTGGATACGACCTCTGATTTTGAATTTGCAAACCTGGACATTGCGGCATCGAAAACCAAATCCTCAAACACTGTCTCCTCAGTATCCCCCTCCTCCTCCATCCCCCTCCTCCTCCTTCTCCTGCCCCCAGTCCAGACTGGCTAAGTTCGACTTAGCGGAGATAGTTAACCTCAGGTTACCGGGCTGTTGCTAACCAGGTTACCGATTCCCTAGCCTCACTTACCTAACCAGGCTATCTCGGATACGACGCTTACATAACATACTTACAACCCTTCTTGGAGCTCGCGTGGACACCTCAAAGTAAGTTGGTTGATGAGCCAACCGCGCTGTGCATTTCAGTTGCTTCGCTAATTGAGCTCGGAGAATGAATGCTGGTTCGGACACTTAGACCAATAGATACAAGAAGTAACTCGTGCTACCCATACTTAAAACTACTTCACACCAGTTCCGAAACGCACAAACCAGCAAGGAACCACCGCGGCGACCCAAGTAGTTACGTGACCCTGAGGGTGCCCACCTTGGGGGGCAGGCGCCCAGGGAATTCGGAGCTAGGCACGTGCACGACGTAGGGCGTAGCCGGGGCTGCGCCCGGGATTGCGCGGCACGCGCTTTGCCGAGCGTCTGCGGCACGAAACGTTGCATTGGGGGTAGGGGAGACACGTGCGGACTGCGCCACTGGGACCTTCGGTGGAGCGCCCTATGGGGCCACGGACGGCGTCCTGGGCGGAGGAGACACATGCGAACTGCGCCACTGGGGCCTTCGGTGGAGCTCTCTTGGGGGCCACGAAGCGGCGTACAGGGGTAGGGGAGACGCATGCGAATTGCGCCAGGGAGACACATGCGAACTGCGCCACTGGGCCCTTCGGTGGAGCTCCCTATGGGGCCACGAAGCGGCGTGCTGGGCGGGGGCGGCGCATGCGAACTGCGCCACTGGGACCGTCTCGGTGGAGCTCCCTTTGGGGCCACGAAGCGCTGTTCTGAGTAGGGGACACACATTCAAACTGCGCCACTGAGACCTTCTCGGTGGAGCTCCCTTTGGGGCCACGAAACGTGGTACTGGGCAGGGGAGACGCATGCGAACTGCGCCATTGGGACCTTCGGTGGAGCGCCCGATGGGGCCACGAAGCGCTGCGCAGGGGGGCAGGTGAGACTCATGCGAGCTGTGCCACTGGGACCTTCGGTGGGGCGCCCTATGGGGCCACGAAGCGGCATACTGGTAGGGGCTACACATGCGAATTGCGCCACTGGGACCTTCGGTGGAGTTTACTCTGGGACCGCGGAGCGCTGTACTGGGCAGGTGAGACGCTCGCGGGCTGTGCTATTGGGACCTTCTCGGTGGAGCTCCCTCTGGGGCCGCGAAACGGCGTATTGGGCGAGGGGGGGGCGCATTCGATTTGCGCCACTGGGACTTTCGGTGGAGCTCCTTCTGGGCCACGACATGTTGCATTGAGCGGGGGAGACACATTCGAACTGCACCGCTGGGACTTTCGGTTGAGCTCCCTATGGGGCCACGCAACGGCGTACTGGGCGGGGGAGACACATGCGAATTGCGACACTGGGGCCTTCGGTGGAGCGCCCTATGGGGCCACGAAACAGTCTACTGGGTGGGGAAGGCGAATGCGAACTGCGCCACTGGGACCTTCTGTGGAGCCCCCTGTGGGGCCACGAAGCGCTGTACTGGGTAGGGGAGACACATGCGGACTGCGCCATGGGCATGAGGAGACACATCGGGCTGCGCCATCGGGACCTTCGGTGGAGCTCCCTCTGGGGCCACGGAGCGCTGTATTTGGCAGGGGGGGCGCATGCGATTTGCGCCACTGAGACCTTCGGTAGAGCCCCCTTTGGGACCACAGAGCGGCGTGCTGGGCGGGGGAGACGCATGCGAACTGCGCCAGAGGGGTCTGAGGTGGGGCTTCCAATGTGGCCACGAAGCGTTGTACTGAGCGGGGTAGACGCATGCGAACTGCGCCACTGGGCCCTTCGGTGGATCGCCCTATGCGGCCACGAAGCGTTGTACAGGGTGGGAGAACACATGCGAACCGCGCTGCTGGGACTTTCGGTGGAGCGCCCTTTAGGGCCACGAAGCAGTCTACTGGGCGGGGGATACACATGCCAACTGCGACACTGGGATCTTCGGTGGAACGCCCTATGGGGCCACGAAACAGTCTACTGGGTGGGGAAGGCGAATGCGAACTGCGCCACTGGGACCTTCTGTGGAGCTCCCTGTGGGGCCACGAAGCGCTGTACTGGGTAGGGGAGACACATGCGGACTGCGCCATCGGGACCTTCGGTGGAGCTCCTTTTGGGGCCACGAAGCGGCGCACTCGGCATGGGGAGACACATCGGATTGCGCCATTGGGGCCTTCGT